CCAGTAACACACACACGCCTGCACACAAAGCCTCTAAAGATTCCTGTGCGAATTTTAGCAGAATTGCTAGACGCCATCAAAAATAATAATAAGGGACCAGCAGTTAGTGTAACAGCTATGTCACTGAACTCCCATGTAGCCAACCTAATAATAATAATAATAATAAAGAGTCTCACTTGCTGGTAACCAGCCACCATCCTTTTGGAGAAACATGAATAATGTAAACTATGAAAACTTTCACAGAGAGTACTTTGGCAATACACCTGAAGACCTAAAAAAAAAACCTTATTAGATTGTAGCACTTAATCTAATAATGTCACCTTTGTAAATTCAGTCCAAGGAAAGAATCTAAAATACAGTGATGGAGAAACAATGTTTATCTGGGATGCTAAACTAAAGCACAATCGCAAAAACAACCTAAATGAGTTATAGTCAAGAAGTAGCTGGGGTATTTATGAGACGTCGCCACAATGGAATAGACAGCCAACCAAAAGAAGATACAAAATTATAAATGATACTTAGGAAGCGTTTTAGAATGCAAGTGGAAAGTTAAACACACTGTTAAATGATAGGATGGGCCCAGGCTGAGCTCCAGCAGAAACTAGCACACACGAGAGAGGAGATGGTAGGTGAAGGGTTCAGAGGAAAATCTCATCACTCAAGTCTTCTGTCCTTTCAATTTTCCTACAAAAGCCTTGTGCGGATTTCTTAGAGGAGGGGATCGTAAGGGGAGGGCACGGTAAATTACCTTCCACGCTTTCTGCACCACGCTCACGCTAATCCTAGACACCCAGAACAAAATAACCTGCTCTGCGCGCGCACATGGAACACACAGGACCTCGCCAGGACTCCAGACCGCGCAGTGGTGAGGGTCCCGGCCCGCCACCTCGGTAAACCGGCTGGTCCCACCCTCGATTCCGGGGCAGGAGCAGCCACCCAAGGGAGTGGAGGCCCCGCAGCCTCAGAAACCGAGGCCTGGGTCTGGGGTCAGGATCCTCTTTCCCGCCGAATCCCAGGCTGGTGTCGGGGTTCAATTGCGACAACCAGGGCGAGCGGGCTCTGACGCCACCTCCGCGGGGGCCGGGTCGGTTCTGCTCATCCCTGCGCGCTCC